TGTCTGACACTGAAAATCCGTTGTATTGTAAAATTCGTTATATCAAAATTCGTTGTAGAAAGAGTTGACTGTATAGATTTTTATAAAGCAGATAAAGCATTAAAACAAAATCAAGATAATAATATAAATAATATAAAAGATTATTCACAAGCATTTTATATAAGTCGTTTACTTGATTTTCTGAAAGAATAAATGAAATTTTAGATTTTGAAATTAAAAGTTTAGAAATTAGTCAAAATGTTGGTAATTATTATAATATATATATAATTTAATAATTTCTTTAATTTAACATATATATTTTTAATTTAATAGAAGCTTTAAATATTACAAATGATGAAATAAGTATATAATTTAAATATAAACATTGGAAATATATATTTTAATTTATTTACATTAATTTATTTTTATAATAGATGAAAATAATTAAAATCTATTTATAAATATATATATTTTTTTCTTTTATAACTATTATTATAATTTTATGAAATATTTATTTAGTAACATTATATATAAAATAAATATTACAGTTTGTAATTACTCAAATAAACTTTTTACAAATAAATTAAATTATAATTAATGAATGCACATCCTAGGTATTCATATATTTCATCCAAATTATTACCACTTAAATTAAAAAAACAGATTGTTAAAGATTATCGGGCTCAAATAAGAAAAAACACAAGAATAAAAATTTTGAGAAATCTAGCTTAAATAAATTACAAATTCAATTTAACAAGAATTTAAAAAGATCCTTTTTATGAAAAAAGTTTATAACAAAAGTTCCCGATTAAGTATATCTAGCAATTTAAATGAAATAAAAAATAATGATTTATTATTATTGGCATATTATTTTCATATTACCTAGATGTCAGTTTAAATTATAATTCTGATTCGTTAAACAAGTATGTTAAGCATTTTTATATTATTATTGAATTACCTTATATTATTACAAGACATAAGAAGAATAAAATTTTTCTATTACAAAAGCTTCTAATAATATATAGTTTAATAATGCTTTGACTGTTGATTTATAAATTAGAGATATTAAAATTAAATTAGGGATGGAAAGGTCAGTCAATGGTCGGTCAAAGACCTTTGACCGATTTTACCCTAAATATCGCAGGATTTAATATTTAAAATTATGGTTTTTTATTAGCAAAATAAGATAATTTGAATTTTTGAATTAACTATTATGATATTTTTTTTTTTGAAATTCCCTATATAAAAAATCTTTTTATGTTGTGATTTATTTATTTTTGCATTTCCTTACTCAGTGAGTTTACCTTTTCGTTATTTAGTGACGCAGAATAATTGCGGATTTTAATTTTATTCTCTAATTTTATAATTATTGTATATCATACAAAGAATTCTTAGTTTACTAATTAATACCGACTGATAACATTCTGGGACTTCGTTAATGATGCTTTATTTTTTTTTTTTTTTAGGAGAGATTTATAAGTTTGATTTGAAAGTTTTTAAGTAGTTTTATTACTTTTGATAATTATTCAAGCTACAAAATAAATCCTTATATTTGAATATATTGCAAATAAGATGGATATTTTTTACATATCTAGTGATGCACAATTTGATGTTCAAATGAATCAGAACTTTTCAAGAAACTTAAGACCTTATTTTCTTTTAAAGATGTTATATTTTATAAAACTAAGATGACTAACTTATTGGAGAGCTGATGATACGTTCAAAAAAGGATCTGGTTGAAGCAGATGATTGTGCTGAAATGGAAATCATAGGACTGCACTAAAAAAAAAAGTTTGAATACGCCGCCGTGTAAATTTTGCTTCAGCAAGAAGATGCAGAAATAAAATAAAGAAAATAGAGTGGAGCAATATTTTTGATAATGACATAATTATTAGTTATAATTGGTAGTTATCGTTAGGTGGTATTACCATTTTTTCAAATCCGAAGAATTTCGTCCAGTGAATTTTCAGATTCACCCCATATGTCCGTAGTTATGCGATGCGAAACCTTTTTAATTTGGAAACACTTTGTAGATCAAGTGGGCGAAGACTAGTCTCCGCCCGAAAGATTAATTTGTTCAGATTTTATTGATTTTTGTGTTACATGATAATGCAAAATAAAAAGATCTGCATTTGATATCATCATAAAGTTTATTACATTTTAAATGCATCCCCTCTTAAATGCACATTCAAGACTGGTCAAAAAGGGATGCATTTAGATGAGGTTACAATGTAGTAGTACTTTTATAATAATAAAACATTACAATAAAGATGATCTGCAATGCAGATGATGATGATTTGCAATCAAGACGCATACATTATGCTTATTGTAAAATCCTCAAAACATATTGTACTTATTTTAGGGTATGTAATCATTGCATGAAAACTTAATTTGTCGTGTTAATCCTTTGACAAAGTATTAAAGTCATATGAACTTGAAAAATCTCAATAAATTGTAATGTTTGAATTCTCTGATAATTAATTATTATAAACCACACTCGTATGTCGAGTAAACCCGATGTAAATTTTCTCACCAAAAATAACCTTTGTTAATCAAATTGGGAGGAGTTAATCTATCCAAAACCAATTAGTATGCTACATGATTATCGATCTTATTATACCGCACTTTTTGGTAGACTGAGCTAGACCCTGTTTATAGGGTTCTTCATGCAAAATGGCGTCTTGAAAAGATTTATTCTTTTTTACATTCTTTTGTACTTGTACAACAATAATATCAAATGTGAAATTGTCAATAAACGCCAGTTAGAAATCACCACCATATAACGTTAATATCTCTTCATAATATGTGATTGCAGTTTCGCGTTTTTTTTATGTAAATCTTTCGAAGCTTACAAATATCATCAGGTTCTTTCCTTAATAAATGATTATGGAAAGTCAATGTTGCAAAGTACAAAATTCAATCAAAAAATACAAGTTTTCCTTTTTTTTTTTGCAGATATTAATCACCAAGTCAAAAAAAAATTTAGATATTTATTCTGTTCTGGTGATATGTTTTCGATGTTAGAATAATTCGTTAATAATGATGATGACAAGCAATCAATTTACTGAACGACCGCGCCCAATATGTTGTCAAGCATCAACAAATGCAGTGATTCAAAAAAAAAAAAAAAAAAAAAAAAAGAAAAAAGGCTTGGCATATTCTACATGAAGATTTTCTGTAATTTATTTAGAAGTATTGTCAGTAACAAAAGTCTTCGTGGCACTTTAGTGCTTTGTTCCGCAACAAATCCATCCTATATTTTGAAACTCGTTGTAATACAAAATTTAATGCAAACATTAAAAAACCGGACCGACCCGTAATTCTTAAAGCAGTAATTTTTTTAAAAAAAAAATAAAAAAAGAAAATGCGATTAAATGTAATGTACACTATAAATACAATTTTTAAGAAAAAATATATCAAATATAAAAATTTCTAATCGCGTCCAAGAAAGATCCTATTAATACTTGGAGGTTTCACGATAATGATTCATTCGGTGATACGGCTCTTCATCGGGTTTTTGAAATCTGCATTAAAAATAAAACTTAAATCGCGAAAATTCCTGTATACTACACGCGTACAAATTTTTTATATTTTTATATGAATTGAATGAGAAAACACTAAATTTCAACGACTGTATATGATTGATTGTGTGTATACATGAAACGATGCATTTATTATTATTCTTTTATCATTATGATTATTTTTCTTAATGAATTACAAATATAAGTACAAAAAAAATTCAAGAAAAAAAAAAAATTGAATTTATATTTACGATTAAGTCTAAAAGCGCTATACAATCAAATTTCCTGCACTAATAAAGAAAACTCAAATGTAAATTACTAAATTACAAGATGAAATATTTACAGAAGATATATATTTGTTTTTGTTTGAGGCGAAGAAAAAAAGGAAAAAAAAATTTAGCGAATACGGTTTTTAAATTCTATCAATTAAAAAAAAAAAAATACGTTTATGAATTAAAATGTAATGCAATTTATATATATATATATATTTTTCCTTGAAATCTTGGCAAACAAAATAAAAAAATTATTAAAAAGGGAATGTGTTTGTGTGCATGAAAGGATTGTTAAAAATAAATAAAATAAAATAAAATAACAGGAATCATAATGATCATATATTGATCGTTGCGTAACGTACGTAACGTAACACAAACTCAGAATTTTCAAGGAAACGCTTCTATATGAGGTAGGGTGATGAAGTTTCAACGAAATGAATGCGTTCAGTCCTCCTCCCCCAAGTTTTTTTTTCATACATATGATAAGGCATCCGATAATCTGGCTTCTTTAGGTCTCGCAATATCATTCACGGTAACCTCTGGATAACCCGAGCTTTCATAATCATCGCTACAATTATCGCTGTAAGGGTATGAATGATTTGAAAACATAGAATGTGATCGAGGACAATGTGAAAGGTATGACATGGGCGTATTTACGGTCGTAGTTGGGCTTACACGGTTGGAGTTGTGCGAATATGCATCATATTCCGATCGTGTATTATGTTTGAGCTCAAGTTGTTTGGATTTTTTCAACCTTTTTGGCCTACGTTAAGGAAAGGGAACGGGAATTAAAAGAGGTCAGAAAATCATATGATGTGGATCACACGACGACGTCAATTTTTTAACAATATTTACCTGCAAAATACGTAACCAAAAATGATTATCCAAAAGTCACGATATTGTTCGTTCGCAAATTCACCGGTTCCAAAGCATAACAAGAATAAGCTTGAGGATAATATCATGTATAACGCATGACCGTTCCTTAGCCAAAATTGTGTATTGATGGGAAAGTAACTGTATGGAACGATTCCATTGATCAAATAGTCGATGCTTGTTTTTATTATTATTATCGAAGTCGGAACGCCGAAAATGATTAACAAGCAGCACCAAAGTCCCATACGTAATAAAACATTTCTTGGTAATAGCATCTTCGCATTTGGGGGAATCGAAGGATTGGGAGGCGGACCACCTCGAGTTGGTAGGACGGGTGATTCTACGGGTTCTTTATCTATGGCCCATGGAATTGAAAGCGAATTTTGAAGTCTACGATTCTCAAAAACTTTTTTCGCGACGGGAATAAGTGCAAAAACTGATAGAATGCTAGCAGGGAAGATTAAAAGGTATTCTGGTAAAGTTCTAAAGATGAATAAAAGTCCTCTGAAATTTCCATGACGGGACACTTCACACATGCTTTCATCATCAATGTTTACAAAAACTTGGTTGCCCCCGGATAACAATATGATGATACCAGAAAAAACCGATACAAATGGAATGAAGAATGCCAAACATATATTCAACCTTTTGATTCTTGGGTCTTGTCTCGCAGCGGGATTTGTCAATCTTAAAGAAACGAACAATTCTACTGATAAGGCTAAAGCTAAACCTGCGATTGCTACTGAACTTAGTGATAATGCCAAACCACTTATTAAACACGCATATTTTTCCGCTTCCGTTGCATTTTCAATTTTGAATCCATTATTTAGAGTTAAGCCACCAAGTACATATGAAAGTGAGTAAAAGGAATTTGAGACGCTATAAAAGATAAGAACGAACCCATTTCGTTTTACTTGCACGTAAATATTTTGAAAGCATAATATGCAAATTAATATCGATATATATAGTACCAAGGAATCCATTATAGGGATGGGATTTTTAGAGGAATAAAGGACTAAAAACTGAAGGAAAAGATTTTTTTTTTTTTTTTAAAAAAAAAAAAATTTCTGAAGTTATAAATATTTATAAAAAATATTTTAATTTGATCTTCGTTGTCAAAAATTAAAAATTAAATGGTTTTTTTTTTTTATTTTTCTTAAAGGAAAATGAATAAATGATTATTTTTAAATTTTAAAAATACTCGTAAAAAGATGGATAAATTAAATAAACAAATGAATGTATTAAAATGAGTAAATTAAAGGGGGGAGGGTGTTAATATGAGCCAAGCGGATACTAGGGGGGTATAAAAAATTTCATTAAATTTCTGTCCTGAATCTAAGTAAAGCAAGTTTTTATGGAATATATAAATAAATATAAATTTAATATAAATAGGAGTCATAAAATAAAGTTTAATGGATTGTATATACAAACAACTGATAAGGAACAACTCGGTTACTTTGGTTTAAAAAAAGTGTAGATAACGGATAAATATTGCTGCGGGATTTTTGATTTATTTCGGTTAATAACAGCTTTCCATTATTTAAGAAAAGATTCCTGATAGGTTTGTTTCCCATTTATTTCCGTTATAAAAAAAGAAATAAAGATAAATGGATACATATATATACTTTATGTGATAATGTGAAATATGCGATCCATCGACTCTCACATGTTTGTTTATCACTTGACGTGATAGTTATTCTTACGAGTCTGGAACGCTTCTTCAATTTGTTGTGTCTTCGTGAATATTCAAATTAGTTGATTGGTTTCATCGTCAAATTTTTCGAGGCAATTGATTTTTTATTTTTGTTTTATTAAATGTCCCACGAAAACAGTTTCTTTATTTTTTCAATTTTACTTTAAACAAAAAAGATATATATAAAAAGTTAATTAAAAGAAAAAGAATTTGTTCAATTTTGGTAAATCTCTTATCTAATCTTTTTAATGTTTATCACTGATCTTTTTTTAATTTTCTTATCTTATCATAAAAAATTTACTTTTATGGAAGGCCGTATTTTATTCAGGTTTGGTACAGTTTCCAAAAAAAAAATAATTTCATGATCTGCAATGATTTTAATTTATTTTCCTGCGTTTTGTAATTACCACCCGCCCAACATCTTGAAAAAAAAAAATTATTTTCGTGACTAAACTTAATTTGCCATTGTCAATTACTTTTTATTATATATCTTCCAGAGCGAATTTTACATTTTTTTTTTTAAAGAAAATTTTCGTTTTAAAATTCTCAAATATAAAAAATAAGTTCTCGAAATTTCTATAATTAATATTCACGTGTATGTTTTTAAATTATCAACGTTTCAGGGAAAGATAAATAAAACCAAATTAAAAAAAAAATATATTAAAAAATTGATTAATGAACTTCCTTAAATGTCATCAATGCGTTTATTTGGAGGACTGTGTTATCTTTGTAATTATCACAAAAATAATTGAAATGATGTATTCAGATGACTCTATTTAAGACCACGCCTCGGAAGTAAATCGGAATGAATAATTTTCCCAAAACATAATTTAAGAACTTTGTACGGTGTGAATTTGTTTCTTTCAGGAAGAATCTTTACCGTTATTGTAGTAGGTGGTCATGCATGAACGGAATGAAACCATTCACGTGAGCATTGTTATGGAAACTAATATGCAATGATAGAAAATTGACCACCGATCTTATCCCGTTTCAATACGAATTATTTGTCTGCTCAATTTTTTGAATCTACAAAGAACATTCCAGAATTCCGTAATGTGGCACAGTGAAATTCAACATTGATGCAATCAAATTTATTTGTTTGCTCGTGGACGCGCTTAACTATATATATAATTAAAAGCAATCTTTTACATACTCGAGATAACCACGGTTTAAATTTATGCAAATCGTTACTCCAATGTAACATGCCATCAAAATACAGTAAAATAATATAATGAATGAATGTTCATGCCATTCTATTTGAGTCTTAATGCCTAAAACAAATTATTGCGATAAGAAATTCAGAAATAAATTATTTGAATAACCAATTAAAAAAAAAAGATCATTTAAACAAAAATGTAAAGGAAGTTTCCGGTATGCTATTTACGCGAATAAATAAACAATTGAAAGTTGTACATATGTAATTAATAATATAATTACCTTAAGATAAATCTCCAATCACACCACATGAATGAGAAGAACTAGTGTATAATTTATGTTCATTTGAAAGTCATGAACTTTTTAATTCTTTAAAAAAAGATCAAATAAAAATCCGATTAAACAATCAATCAAAAGATGAAACACATTACAGCATTAAAAATGAATGCATTATCTGTTATTTTTAAGTTTTATTTTTAAGGAGCAACTTAAACATTAAACCATAAACTGTATGTCGGTCGGGTCATCAATTTGAAATTCCTAACCAATTAACGGTTTAATTCCCGATTTAGTACCTATTTACTTGACCTTGACAGGAATATGTAATTGACTCAATTCTTAAAATCATGCATAGAATAGATTTCTGTGGAAGCAAAGAATGCGGTTAATTTTTTTTGGCGCCGCTAATTTGCCACGTGATAGAATGATTTTAGGCGTAGAATCAAATCCACCAAACTTTGATATCGTAATTCAATATATATATAACAGGCGATATTAATACGTTAAGGATGATTGTATAAATAATGATGGTAAGTCTTAATTATTTGACTTTGTATTTTGTAAACTTTTTTTTTTTTTTTTTTTTTTTTTTTTTTTTTTTTTTACGTAATCTTCCTGTAGATGATCTAGAATATCTGGACGAAAGTCTGATCTTCTAATTCTATGGTTGGAAGGTTTTGACGATTTTAATTTAACTTTTTTGGAACATTTATATGCAAAGTCCAAAAGGGTCCATCATAAAAAGGTTAAAAAGGTTAAAGATGACTAATGATCATCACGAATAGTTGGCAAAAAAAATAAATAAATTGAACATCCTACTAAACATTTTAATTTATTTTCGGAATGCTTGTAAGACTGTACTGTATATTGACAACTAATATCTTCCGATTTTTTTCTACCATAAAAAGAATTTCAATAATGCTATAGAGTTATAAAACAAACTAGTATGGTATGGATCGCTACTATTTGTTAGTGGTACGATTATCTGTCTTACATAATGATTTAATGATAAACTATCAATTTAAAATTCGTTTCGTAAAAGAAATTTTCATATTTTTTTTTTTGAAACTCCCCAGGCCCCATGATTCACTAAAAAGTTATTAAAATACCAGATTAGGTTGCTTGTATTATATTACATATACATTATACCGACCATCTCCGTTTAGCAACGATAAGGTGATAATATAATGAGTGCAAATTAACACTTCTTATCGATGTAGTCATTTGCGATAACAAAATTAGTACGACTTGTCTCCTTGAAAGAAATTAATGACGCTAATGCAAACTAAGAAATAAATGGATCCATATGTATTTATTAAATCGACAATGATACAAATCTCCGTATGAATCATGAATGTTCTGAGAAATCTAATGGCGAAGCATGCATTTCCGTCTCAGCAACAACTTTGTCGATTATGAAGCTACAAAACTAGAATGAGATTGCGTATGATTTTAGAAGTATGTTGGGTTGGTTAAGAACTTATCATGCCCGCGATCAAACTTTTTATTCGGCGAGTTCATCCATTAAAGGTTATACACGTCCTATAGTTTTAAACCATGTCCGGACACTTGTGGCACCGGATATTAATGGGTTTCCCTTGTAAGTGCTAACACCCCTTCGCTCAAATTTTCTAATTTTGAAATAATATGAATGATATTCAGCTAAGCCTTTCATAATCAATATTTATTTATTATATTTGCAAATTTTTTACCTATTTTGATTATTAAATAACCACTTCAGATTTGTAATCAAATTTTTATAAACAATATTACTTGTCAATTTTACGTCAAATTGAATCATTTTAAAAATATTTATCAGAAAATAATCAAATTTATATTGTTTTATAAGTATAAATAATTACATAATTAGTAATTTTTTGTTATACAATATATAAATGTTTATACTAATAAAAGTACAAAAGTATTGATATATTATATAATTAGTAATATTTTGTTATATAATATATAAAAGTTTACACTAATAAAAGTACAAAAGTATTGATATATTATATATTTATTAAAAATTATATATTATAAAATTTTTTATTATTTATTTAAAAATTATTTTTATTCTTTTATAAATTAGCATAAATAATTATAAATTGAAAAATCACAGATTGAAAAATATATAAGAAATTTTGGTATAAATCATATAAGCTAATTTATAAAAATTTACAAAATATACTTAAATAGGTAAAAATAACTAATAATAGGCAAAAATAATCAAAAATAAGCAAATATAGGCAATAAAAATAAATATTGCTTTTTACATCAAAATTTTCTACTAATTTTTAAGCATATGAGAGGTTTGCTATTAAAATCGAGTTAAGAACATAGTAAATCATATGATCTATAACGTGATTTTAATAGCTTACCTCCCATATGACCTGTAAAAGTATTACAAATTATAAAATATATATTTAAATTTGCAATAATTAAATATAATCTTATAATATAATAATTTATTTATAGTATAATATTATATGTATTATTTAATTGTTTAATAGGCAAATTTATTTGCAAACTTAAAAAAAAAGTATTTTTTTCTTAAAAAATATAAAATTTTAATATTAATAATACAAAAAAATATATATATAGTTATCAACTTTATAGAAAATATTTTAAAATATTAAAAAATTATTTAAAATAATTTTAATTTTAAAAAATAATATAAAATTACTAAAATTTATTTAATTTTATTAAATTATTATAATATTATTCTTTAACTAGTCTTGTTTATAAATTTATTAATTAACGAAATATACATTTTGATTGATAAAAAAAAATAATATTAACTAATATAAAAAAAGGTAAGTAAATTGACTTAAAAGGAAAATTGTGTTCATATTGCCGCTGATTATTGCCTTATAATATATAAAAAAGAAAAGATTTTTAAAAAAATATTGATGCTGTTTTTAAAAAAACATTATTACTATTTATTGTTACTGTATTCATTATATTATTTCAGTATTTCGTTATACTATTTTAGTACTTCGTTATACTGTTTTTTATATTATTTTACTGTAATATTTTAATAGAATAGAAGTTCTTTATATATCAAAAAAAAATATCTGTATTTTTTTTTACAAACTTTTATGTTTATAGTTTAGCCTTTTTTTAAAAAATAAAAATCAGTTTGTATAATATAATTATCAGATATAAAAAAAAGGATCTATAATAACATTACTGATTAATGACTTTATATAAATCAAAAAAATTTAAGCTTAACTTTTTAAGGTAGAAAAAGTGCAATTGATAACTAATTTGATTAATTAAATTAAAAAGACTAAACAATTAGTAATCTAAATAATGTTAAAAAAATACAAATTCATAACTTACCTTTGGGCTGAACAATCTGAATCTAAACCTAAAATCGTCTAAATAAAAAAAAATAAAAATAAAAAAAATTAGTAACTTGATATAATGAAAATAAGTATCATAATAGATCGATTGAATTAGATAAAATTATCAGGATTGAACTAAAAAAATGTCTTAGATAAAAATAAATAAGAGAAAAAAAAAAATAAATATTAGTAATTAGTAATGCAAAAAAGACTGAAAAAAATAAAAAGAAAAATAAACTCATCTTACTGTAACAGACCAATTGAACAGAACTTGATCAAAATCTAAAAATAAAATAAAAAAATTAAAGTGTTAAAATAATAAAGGAAATAAAAAAGAGAATTAGTAAAAAAATTCAGTACTTACCTAAATTGTAACAGACTAATCATATAGAACTCATCTAAAGCTAAAAAAAAGGAAATATTAATAAAAGTATTAAAATAATAGGAAAAAAATAAAATAAAATAAATTCTTTACTTATCTTACTATGATAAACCAAAACTAGAAAAAAAATAAAAAAAATTAAAGCATTAAAACAATAAAGAAAAAAAAAAGAGAATTAGTAATAAAATCTGGTATTTACCTAAGTCGCAATAGACTGATCACACAGTATCTGTCTAAAGCTAAAAAAAAGAAAATATTTAATAAGAGTATTAAAATAATAATAAAAAAAAAAGAGAATTAGTAAAAAAAATCCAATATCTATCTTGTCATAACAGACCAATTATACAAAACTCATCTAAAGCTAAAAAAAGGAAAATTTTAATAAAAACGTTAAAACTATAGAAAAAAAAAAATAAAATAAAAATCTTTCACTTACCTTGCCATAATAAACTAAAGCTAAAAAAAAATTAAAAATTAAAGAGTTAAAATAAATGTAGAAAAAAAAAATTAATAAAAAATCTCATCACCTACTTATATTGTAATAGACTGATCAAACTGAATGAAATCATTCATATTAGACTAACAGTTTACCTTAGATAAAACAAAAAAAATAAGAGATAAAAAAATAATAATAAAGTTTAGTAATCTGATACAATGCAAATAAAAAGAAGAAAGAAAAAAAGAAAAAACTAATAAACTTAGCTTTGCTGTAATGAACTGATTGATCTGTCACAGCTATGATTGATGATTTTTTTTTATATTATTTAGTATTACTAATTACTAATTCTCTTTTTTATTATTATTTTTATTATTTTTTATTTATTTTTTTCCTTTTCTATAGGCGATTTTTTCTCTAAGGTGATTTATTTGATGAAAAAATTAAAAAAATACTTTAGACTAAAAAAAGTATTAGAAATAAAATTACCTATAAAATTATTTTATTAAAATACAAAATAAAATGGGTGGGTGACATAATCACCTGTAGTGAAAATCAAATTCTAGTTAATTATTAAAAATTAATAAATTTTATAAAAATTAATATAAAAAAAAGTTAATTTTAATTTATATTTTATTACTTATTAATGAAATATGAAATATATATCTTTTAATAAGATAAATATAATAAATTAAATTATAAATTAATAATTAATATTTAAAAAATTTTACTATTAGTTATATTTTAATATAAAAAATCTAATAAATTTTATTTATCTTTTATAATTATTAAATATTAAAATATTAATTTTTCTATAATATTTTATAAATGATTATAGTAACTTTTATAATAGTAATAGAAGTATCTAGGTAATGTTAAGATATAATTGTAAAATTATTGCAAAATTAATATTTTTAAATTAAAATAAATGTATATTAATTAATAATTTTATTATAAATTTATTAATTTAAGATTAATAAATTTAAAAATAAAGTATTTTTTTATATAAAATTAAAATTAAAATTAAATATTAATAATATAATATTAATAAAATTTATTAAATCTAATATATTTATAATATATTTTAATTAAAAATTATAAATTATTATTTAAAAATTTTTTATAATAATTAGTTAAAAATTAATTCAATTTAAATAAAATATTTATTATTATTTAAAAAATAATATAAAATATTTACTATTAAAATAAATTTAAAATTTAATGATTTATATAATTAAATTATATGAAAAATACTAGCTAATACTATAGGTAATTTCACTTAATTATATAATTCTATTATTAAATTATTACACAAATCAATTAATAAACTATTAAACAATTTTTCTTTTTTACGAATTATCTTTTTAATTATTTTTCACTTTTTGATAACTTATCTCCTTTTTTTTCATTACACATTTTATGAAAAATATAAATAAATATATTATGAATTCTATCTATAATAATAAAAAAATGAACTTCATATTACATTAATTACAAATATTAAGTTTTAAACATAGAAGGAATTTAAGACTCATCTAAATAATATTTTTGTATTCTGTTCTTTCGTTTATATATTTATAAACAATTTGTAAATGTAAGCAAAAGGTTTTATTAAGTAATTGTTGAATAAAGATGAAGTAATTATTATAAGAATTTATTTAATATATCAAATTTAATTAGTATTACCTTAACATCAGCGCTCTATACTTTTACTTTTTCAATATATTAAACTATATAAATGTCAAGTAATAAATAGTAATAAATTCTAACTATAAAATTATGAAATTATTATATAAAATTATATAATATATAATAATAAAATTAAAAATTAAAAATGAAATAATGAACTGTATTACAAAATGTGAAATTATAAAATTTAAAGAGCAAAAATTGAAAATATCATAAATATGTAAAGGGAAGATAGCAAAGAGAATGTTTTTAAAGAAATATACTAAAGATGAGCATGGAATATTAAGCTGTTTTAGTATTTTCAGCTCGTATTTATAAAAGATTTTTAATTAAGCTAATTTAGTATTTTGACCATTTGTCATACTGCATTATA